CCGCCACCCCGCCCCACCGCCAGGAACACGTCCCACAGCGACGCCGGGCTGCGCAACAGGAGCTTCCTCGCGCATCCCGTCCCTGCAAGTTTTTGTGCGGGCCTCCCCTGCTCCTTCAGGCCGCCGCCCCGTTTCTTGAGTACAAGCTCTGGCTCGTCGGTGGCTTCCCGGCCACGCGTCCCACAGACCTCACGGGTGTAGACGACCGCGAGCGGGCGAGCCGTCAGGAGTCGCCTACGGCCGGAGGGGTCGCGCCCGCGGCCCATGGGCGCGCTGGGATTGCGGAACAGCGGTGCCACGCTTTTCATTCTCAACCACTGCCGGTCACTCCGGCACTACTTTTCGGGCGACTTTTCTTCTTGATAAGACGTGTGAGCACTTATTTCTAACCTCTTTCCCCAAGTAAGCTTGTGCATTATTTTCATTTTGGAGGCTTGTCCTCCTCAGCTCATTTATATCTGCCCTTGTATAGCATGGAATTCCTTTTTTGTTCTTAGGACTTATGGAGACTTATTTTACCTCCCAGAATTTTTCTTGTCTTTGAAAGCAGTTTGTTTTCGTTCAATTAAAGTTCTTAAGTCCTGAATTTTTCCTGAGGGCAACTCAAGAAGCTAGAGATACGATTTACTGGAGGCCCAGCAGCACTGGACTAAGTGCTAGGACATGGGAAACGCACCAAGTGACTGGGCTTTCGGGGGGGGGGGGGGCTCCCTGGCAGCTCCGTACTGTGCTATAGACACAATTTAGCTATTCATCGTGCATGACACTTAAAAACAACCAATTTTCCATATTGCTTCAGAACTTTACAATTTCTAAATTTTTTGTTTTCCTCATTCAAGACTTTTTTAGAGCTGGGCTCGGTGGCTCAGCCTGTAATCCCGCGCCTTCGGGAGGCTGAGATGAGTGGATTGCCTGAGCCCGCGGGTTTGAGACCCGCCTGGGCAACTTGGCGAGACCTCATCTCTACAATAAATAAATTTAAAAAATTAGCTGGGCGTGGTAGCGCACGCCTGTATTTCCAGCTACTTGGAAGGTAGAGGCAGAAGGATCGCCAGAGCCCCCAGCAGGTCGAGGCTGCGGTGGCCGGGAGCGGCCACTGCACTCCAGTCTGGGCGTCACAGTGAGACTCCAACTCAATAAATAAATAACTAAATAAGTAAATAAATAATAACAAAAAAATCAGTCGGGCGTGGTAGCGCGCACCTGTAGTTCCAGCTACTTGGAAGGCTGAGGCGGAAGGATCGCCGGAGCCCAGCAGGTCAAGGCTGCGGTGGCCGGGAGCTGCCCTGCACTATAGTCTGGGTGACAAGAGACTCCGACTCAAAAAAAATAAAAATTAAAAATAAATGTTTTTTTAGTACTTTCTGTCCTAGGAAAGCAGCTGCAGAGTTTTCCTTCTACTCCACCTCTATCCCAACTTCTAATATACTTGTTTCTTCTTTAATCTTGACAATTAGGTCTTCTGGGTCCACACACATTCAGTAGACAGTTATCATACAGCACCTGAGTGCTACAGAACCAAGTACTATGCCATAAATGAAACAGGCCGTAAGTTCAGAAACTGGCAGGGAAGTGACTGAGTCAACCCACGGACTACTCCCCAAGCCCTCTAAGGTAATCTACTCCTGTCCAGTTCCAAAAAATTATTCGCCCCACTTCATGGGGGGAAAAAAAAAATCAAAGTTCACGAGCAGGCAGAGGTAGAAATGAATTCTAACTCCACTGGAGGTTCACAGCTATGACTGACTCACCCCACCCACCCAAATGGAGCTACATAATCCCCATCAGTTGGGGCTCCAATTGCCTTTCACCCCAGCAGCTGAATGACCCTAGAGCAATGTAGGAAGTTCCCTCATCTGCAACCATCTAATGGGTTGTACAAATTCAATGGACAAGAGGCTTAATCCTTCTGGGCCTACATTTCCTTACCCGAAGTGGTTAAATATAAAAACCCAGGTACAAGTCAGGCTCGGTGGCTCAGCCTGTGATCCCACGCTTTGGAAGGCTGAAGTGAGTCGACTGCCTGAGCCCTGGGTTCGAGA